CATCGGGCTCACTCAAGGGCCTCGGGAAGGAGTCGGCGGGATGCCGAAAGGCTCCACTAACAAACACAAACAGAGCGTCAGGGTCGCCAGCCGCCTTAGCAGACAGGGCAGCTTCCACGATCTCCTGATCCACCGCCTCGCTGCGATCGGCGACAACAGGCGGATGCTGGCATTCTCACAGCCGGTGGAATATCGTATCTGTTTGCCAGCAAAAGGGACAATCGGGGGAGACGCAATACCCGCATTCAACAGCACGAGCACCCGTGAAGAAAGCCTCCGTCGCGAACGCCCTGATGCGAGCTTTTTGCAAGGGGGTGAACTTCTTCGAACGGGGGGCCAAACAATCCTTGACCACATCGTTACAGACTCTAGGCAACGCACCCCTCTTTTCGCCAGAAACTCGTTCCAGCATCCTGAAATAGCCATCACGCACAAGCTTGGTGACCAGAGCGGGGGAAAACAAACCGAGGGGGATGATCTGCCCCTGGTCGTTTGTAATGGTCATACAATGAACCATGCGCCAGCCTAACATGACCAGGGACATCCGGAGAGCCGAAATGGGGCCAGCCACGTCCCTTCTCCAGGAACAGCTGGGGCTCGCAAACACCGAGGACCACGCGCGACGCCAAGTGGGGAGGTCCAACGACCGCCTGAAAGCGCAGGTCTGGGCAATCCGCACTTCCTTGCTCCAACGCGCGATGGGAGACGCGGCCGTCCTCCAAGTCGGATCGCCGTCCAAGGTGGCGAGGGTCGTCAAAGACCTGAGGTTGCTGGTCGGCCGCGCGACCGAGAAAACACGTCGCCTCAGCAATCCAAGATCGCGATCGCTCGAGCCCGTGATTTCGGAGCCGTGCGTGGCCCCCGCTAAGGGCCCAGCACTATACACCTTAAGAATAACCGATCGTTTCAGCACCTTGGATTGCCGAACGAGCCGCCGAGCGGCGCGCGACGACTTCGCAATGCGGGACTTGAGCTTGGCCGAGCGGCCAGCGCGGACTGATCGTCCAGCTGTGTAGTCCACACCTAGGTTCACAGCAGGCTCACTAAGCCTGCCGCCAAGGTTCTCGAGGGCCTTCGAGACCTCAGTGCCGACATGCTTGGAACTGCACACCAGGGAGGTTTTCTCCAGGGCAAAGCTACAACCAAAACACTCCTTGACCACAGAGTCCAGAAACAGAGCCGTTTTCACAATTCCAGAAATCACCTTGGCGGCAGGCCCCGTAGCAGACCCTGGTCGTCGATATACACGTCCAGGTCCATTTGGAGACCTAGAGAGGGGGGGATGGAAGCAATCACACTGTCATAGCCTTGCATACAGAAGACCCTGATGAAGGTCGTGGCCATCGAGCAGCCCGCTATGACTCCTGAGCTGCAAAAATGAGGCCCCTCCAACCAACCCCCGAGGCTGAGGAACCGCCCACACTTGTAGGCGAAGATGCACAATCTGGCTATCGCCCTCGGGAACCCATGGATCTGACAACGTTCTTCCAACAACCCGACGGAGATGTTCTCATAGAACTTAGAAAGGTCAAAAAAGTCAGCACAACTGGTTTGGCCTTTCGAGACGCCACTTTCAGCCGTGATGGCTTGCCTCCAGACCACGTCGGCTGCTCCACGAAACCTGCCAGCGGCCCAGTACCGACGGGAGTGTTCACCTCCCAGTTCAAAGCCCAGGGCCGCCTGAGGCGCCCCCAAACTCTGAACCAGGAGCAGAACACTCCTATCGGTCTGTAGCCGCCAGCAGGTTTCGGGAGCAGCGCGAGGAGGACCACAGAAATCTGGGGAGGAAGAACATAGGAATCCGTAGGAATCCGTAGGCATAGTTAAGCATCCTCAGGAATCCTTAGGAATCCTTAGGATTCCCTTGGAATCCTTAGGAATCCCTATTAATCAGGATTCCTAAGGATTCCTTCCTAAGGCCGTTGTCACTGCGACTGTCATTGCGAATGCGACTGCGACTGCGAGAACAGCAGAATTCTACAACCTGATTCTCACCTGAATCTTAAGGGGAATGCTTCCAGATAGGCTTATACACATCGCTGTTAGGTTGCTTTGCCGGGATACTTACCAAACAGCGAAGATTGATAGGTTTCTAGTGGGCTCAAAAGAGAGCGTCTTGACTCCCCAGGGGGGTCTGGGCGGTTGCCGGGGAGACTCCGGGGACTCCCCGGGACTCTCCAGGGGGGTCTTGGCGGGTGCCGGGGAGGATCCGGGGACTTCCCAGAACACCTTTCCGAGGCCACATTTTGAGTGCCCGGAGCCAACTGTAGGCCACTTCGTGTTCTTCGTGTTCCCAGAACACCATTCCCAGGCCACATTTTGAATGCCCGGAGCCAAGTGTAGGCCACTTCGTGTTCTTCGTGTTCCCAGAACACAATTCTCAGACCACGTTTTGAGTGCCCGGAGCCAGCTGTAGGCCACTTCGTGTTCTTCGTGTTCCCAGAACACCGTTCCCAGACCCTATTTTGAATGCCCGGAGCCAAATGTAGGCCACTTCGTGTTCTTCGTGTTCCCAGAACACCATTCCCAGACCACATTTTGATTGCCCAGAGCCAGCCGTAGGCCACTTCGTGTTCTTCGTGTTCCCAGAACATTCCCAGACCACATTTTGAATGCCCAGAGCCAACTGTGCGCCACTTCGTGTTCTTCGTGCTCCCAGAACACCATTCCTGTACCATATTTTGATTGCCCGGAGCCAGCTGTGGGCCACTTCGTGATCTTCGTGTTCCCAGAACACTAGGCCTGTGCCATATTTTGAATACCCCAGCTGAGGCAGGCTGAGGCCGAGGCAGGCTGAGGCCGAGGCAGGATGAGGCCGAGGCTGAGGCACGCCGAGGCAGGCTGAGGCTGAGGCTGAGGCATGCTGAGGCTGAGGCAGGCTGAGGCTGAGGCTGGCGCAGGCTGAGGCCGAGGCAGGTTGAGGCTGAGGCTGAGGCCGAGGCAGGCTGAGGCTGAGGCTGATGCAGGCTGAGGCTAAGGCTGAGGCTGATGCAGGCTGAGGCTGAGAGGGTGACGCTGAGGCTGAGACAGGCTGAGGCTGAGGCTGAGGCTGAGGCCGAGGCAGGCTGAGGCTGAGGCTGAAGCTGAAGCAGGCTGAGGCTGAGGCTGAGGCTGTGGCTGAGGCTGAGGCAAGCTGCGGCTGAGGCAGGCTGAGGCTGAGGCTGAGGGCTGAGGCTGCAGGCTGAGGCTGAGGCTGAGGCGAGGAGGCTGAGGCTGAGGCCGAGGCAGGCTGAGGCTGAGGCCGAGGCAGGCTGAGGCTGAGACTGAGGCTGATGCTGAGGCAGGCTGAGGCTGAGACAGGCTGAGGCTGAGGCTGAGGCTGAGGCTGAGAGGGTGACGCTGAGGCTGAGGCAGGCTGAGGCTGAGGCAGGCTGAGGCTGAGGCCGAGGCAGGCTCAGGCCGAGACAGGCTGAGGCTGAGACTGAGGCTGAGGCTGAGGATGAGGCCGAGGCAGGCAGGCCGAAGCTGAGACAAGGTGAGGCTGAATGGGGGAGGGAAGGGGGGGGGAGGGGAGGGAGGAGGGGAGGCTGAGGCAGGCTGAGGCCGAGGCAGGCTGAGGCCGAGGCAGGCTGAGGCCGAGGCAGGCTGAGGCTGAGGCTGAGGCAAGCCGAGGCAGGCTGAGGCTAAGGCTGAGGCTGAGGCTGAGGCAGGCTGAGGCTGAGGCAGGCTGAGGCTGAGGCAGGCTGAGGCTGAGGCTGACGCAGGCTGAGGCCGAGGCAGGCTGAGGCTGAGGCTGAGGCTGAGGCAGGCTGAGGCTGAGGCCGAGGCAGGTTGAGGCTGAGGCTGAGGCAAGCCGAGGCAGGCTGAGGCTGAGGCTGAAGCTGAGGCAGGCTGAGGCATCCGTAGGAATCCAAAGGAATCCTTAGGATTTCCTAGGAATCCTTAGGAATCCGTAGGCATCCTTAGGAATCCGTGGGCATAGTTAAGCATCCTCAGGAATGCATAGGAATCCTTAGGATTCCCTAGGAATCCTTAGGAATCCCTGGGAATCCCCAGGAATCAGGATTCCTAAGGTTTCGTAAGGATTCCTATGGATTCCTAAGGATGCCTAAGGATGCCTTAGGAATATCCCTAGGAATCCTTAGGATTCCATTGGATCCTAAGGCCGTTGCCACTGCGACTGTCATTGCGAATGCGACTGCGACTGCGAGAACAGCAGAATTCTACAACCTGATTCTCACCTGAATCTTAAGGGGAATGCTTCCAGATATGCTTATACATTTCGCTGTTAGGTTGCTTTGCCGGGATAATCATAGGCCCCTACAGAGGGCTGTCTTCACTGGGTGAAGACCCCCCTTGGAAGACGACCGTCCTGGGATGCCAGCGCCACGAATCTCACTATTGCGATTTGGCGATCCCGCATCGTGTCAGAACACCATTCTTGGGACTCAAACGTAGAAGAGGAATTCTGGACGCTTGGCGCATCCCCGCCAGCCCAGTAGGCTTCTCAACTTTGGCGGGAAGGGGCTCGTCATACGCGCCCTTCCTGTTTGAAGGGCCTGGCCGCCCAGCGCGGTGTCAAGTTTATTGCGACGCGGCTTGTAAACGTGTCCGTGTTCCCAAGGAAATCGTGTGATTTTTGTCTCTAGGGGCCATCTAGGGGGTGCCTTTTGGGAAATGTTGGGGCGAATTGGATGAGTTTTTGGCCGTCTGGAGGCGATCCTGGGTGTCTTCGACGGATCGTGCGGCCACGCAAGGCCGTCTTGGATTGTGTTGGGTGTCTCTTGAACCCTCAAGGCCCAATCTGGGGGCTCACCACCCCCTTGGCGCGTTCGGGCTGGGGCCTGCCAGGCCCGCGGGGGGTCAGATTTCCGGTTTGGGGTCCCTGGGGGCGTGATTAGGGGGGGAATAATCTCGCACGCCTGGGGGCCCAGAAGAGGTCGGCGGATTATATTCATGAGTGCGACCAGGATGACGACGCCGACGACGACGCCGACGACGCCGACGTCGACGACGACGACGACGGCGACGACGACGATGATGACGACGCCGACGCCGAGGCGGGAGCACATCATGCGCAGCGTGGCCAAGCTGCGCCTGCGGCGCGCCCTGGCCGCCAGGAGCCCCGTGGCGCGCCCCCGGGGTGTGGAGGGCGGTGTCCCCGCCCTCCGCTCGAGGCGCTCGAGCCTCGAGGTTCGAGGCTCGATGACCCGAGGCTCGAGGACCCAAGGTCGAAGGAATCGAGGATCGAGGACTTAGGATCGAGAATCGAAGAGCGAGGGTCGAGGAACCGAGGGCCCAAGCATCGAAGGGATCGAGGAACGGAGGGTCGGAGGATCGAAGGGGTGGAGGATAGAGGATGGAGAACCCGAGGATCGAGGGTCGAAGGAATCGAGGCATCGAGGGTGGAGGATCGAGGCTCCAGGAGTCGAGATTCAGAGGACCGGAGGATCGAAGGAATCGAGGATCGAGGATCGAGGAGCCAGGAACGAGGAATCAAGAACCCGGGCCTTGAGGATCGAGGAATCCAGGGCCCGAGGATCGAGGATCGAAGAGTCGAGGAATGGAGGATCGGAGGATCGAGGATGGAGGAGCGAGGATCGAGGTTCAAGGAACGAGGAATCGAGGATCGAGGAAATGCAACCATCGATTAAGGCGAGTGAATTTGCGACGGGTTCCGTTTCCGTTCAGCATCGGCGCGTTCCGTCGCAAGATGCGGAGATACCGGCCTCGTTGGTCGGGGGGTGCTCTCGCCGCTCCGTTGATCTGGCGCCCGCGCGCTAGACCCACGGATTCGTATTCCATTATAGTGTGCGTGTGCGTACGCGTGTGTGCGTGCGCGAGTGTGTGTGTGTGTGTGTGTTTGTGTGTGTGTGTGTGTGTGTGTGTGTGTGTGTGTGTGTGCGCCCGGCTTCTAGTCTTGGTGCACAGCGGTAGTTCTGGCCTAGCACCTGATCCGGCCAGTTAGCGCGCCCAACGACATACACCAGGCGTTCATGCGGCCCGTGACCCACGACCCCACTGTCGCTACCTTCATCCACCAAGTCCCCTTTCGCTACACCGTTGCCCTTGGGCACCCCCCCCTCGACCCCGACGAAGCAGCCAACCTCATCCGCGGAGGCATGGTTGCCGACCAGCTGGCGAACCACGATGGCCACAGCGCCGAGGATGCCCCGCCCCTCGCGCCCAATAGCAGTGACGATGTGTGGGAACACGCCCGCGAGGAGTGCCCTGGATGCATGCCGACCCTACCCCAAGGGGCCGTCTGCGGCTCCCTGATGCCACACGGCACAAGATCAGCTTCGCGCGCCAGGGGCGAGATGCGGCGCCTCCCAGTCGCCACCGCTCCCTGCCCCGCGGACAGTGTGTTCCTGCATCTGCAGTGCGACAAGCCCGTTGCTGGCAGCTCCACCGAAGACTCCAGTGGCGCAGGCCGTATGCGTCAACGCCACCCAGGACAGCGTTTCGTGGCCCCACAGGGAGCTCCACCGAAGGCTCCTGTGGCACAGGCCGCATGCGTCAACGCCACCCAGTGGCATAGGCCCATGCGCGAACGCCACCGAGGACAGCGTTTCGTGGGCCCACAGGGAGCTCCACCGAAGGCTCCGGAGGCGCAGGCCGCATGCGTCAACGGCACCCAGGACAGCGTCTTCGTGGCCCTACAGGGAGCTCCACCGAAACCAGTACCCACAATGCGGTATTCGCAACTGCATATGGTTGGGTCCTTCGTCAGGCTAATTTTTTCCCAACCATCCTGTGGTGTTGGGTTTTCGTATTGAAGAGACAGCGCCCCATGTGTCCTTCTTCTCCCGCTGCCCCCCTCCTCCCCCTCTTTGCCTCTGCCCTCCGCATGTCTCTGTTTCGGCACACCCCTCACGCGTTTCGTGACCCTATCGGGAGCTCCACCTAGGTCCCAGTGGCGGAACCCGCATGGCATCCCCGCCCCATTTTGGCACACCCTTCACACGTGTCGTGGCTCCATAGGGAGCTCCACCTAAGGTCCCAGTGGTGGAACTCGCATGGCATCCCCGCCCCATTGTGGTACACCCCCCACACGTTTCGTGGCCCCATAGGGAGCTCCACCTAAGGTCCCAGTGGTGGAACTCGCATGGCATCCCCGCCCCATTTTGGCACGCCCCTCACTCGTTTTGTGGCCCCATAGGGGGCTCCACCTAATTAAGGTTCCAGTGGCGGAACTCGCATGGCATCCCCGCCCCATTTTGGCGCACTCCTCACACGATTCGTGACCCCATAGGGAGGTCCATCTAAGGTTCCAATGGACTTGGCCAGGGCTCGCCGACGCGCGGCGCGCGCGCGACATATCGTTGTCCGCGAATGCTGGCAAGTCTTTTGCATCGTGCAGAATGGCGAGGCTGCGGGGCTCGACCGCCTTTTATTTGCTTGTGTTGAGCGTGCTGATCTCTGATCTACGCGCGGTATTGCGTGTACACGGGCCGCGACAGCTAGGGCGCTCGCAGTTCCGTGGCGCGTCCACCATGCGCAGTCTTCTGGCGCGCGTATTCCGCGCGGCTCATGCGCAGCGTGCGTCGCGGTTGCGCTGGGTCTGAGATGATTTGCAGCGGCTGAGGCCGACGCACTTTTTCGAGTTGCGAAGTTCTCGACAGCGCCGGCCGTGATTAGTCAATATCGGAGAGGCAAGATCGACATTTCTAGTTTTTTGGAATGGGAGCAATCGTTTTCATTCGGATGAGCTGGGTTTATTTACCGGGAAACAAGTTTAAACGGTGATTATATTTTGCATTGAAGAGTCAAAGGTTTCAGCGGACATGACTTGCGTCGGGATGGAGCCGCCGCGTTGCAGTGGCGTAGGCATGCGTGTTTGAGGAACCGAGCGCTTGGAAGTGCAGCGCCGGCGTCGGCTGCGATGGCGGCTGCGTTGCGCCGCGTTGTTCGGGGCGCAAAAGAATCCTTTGACCGTATGTATGTATGTAATGGAATGTAGCGTAACGTACTGTGATGTAACATGCTGCATTGACATGTAATGTAACATAATATAGTGTAATGTCGTGTGATGTAATGTAAGAAAATTCAATATACTTTGATGTATGTATATGTATGTCTGCATGTATGTATGTATGCATGCATGCATGCATGCATGTATATATATATATATAAATAGGTGTTTGCATACGTATGTGTTTGTGTATATGGGTAGGTATGTGCATGTCGATGTTTGTATATGTATATGTATACGTAACTGTGTATGTACATGTAGGTTTGTATATGTGCAGGTGTATGTCTGTATGTGTATATACACAAATGTGGATTCATATATGTATGCATGCATACACATGTATGTATGTCTGCATATGGTATCCTTACAATGAGGGCCTCTGCGGCTCCCCACCTAAAGAGCGTCCGCCCTTCAAACCACGTTTAAACCCCGTAGTCGCTTTTGCTCAGGCCCCTTTCGGGGCATGGGCGGCGGGGACCTCGGGTCGCTTCGGCGCGAGGCCCCCGTCTTCTTCCCACGGCCAGCGGCGAGCCTCCAGGCCGCTGGTCGCCACTTTGCGCGGGCCGAGGGTCCCCCAGGCCCAGCGCTGTGCCTTTTCGTGGGATGGCGCCGTGAGGGCGCCGGCGGCGATGCGCGCTCGGGGGCCTCGATGGCCGTTCCCCGAGGCGCGTGGTTCGACGCGCGGTCGAACGGCGAGCTGCTGGGCAGCGTCGCCCTGTCGGCAGGCGACCTCGTGCTCAGGTCCACGACTCAGATTCGGACGCCCGAAATGGGTACGGAAAGATTGGGTACAATGCCCAACAGCAGCTCCTGTTCATTTTGAACAGGATTCGCTGTCCACGCCGCCGCGGCCTGTGTCCATTCGAGACAGAAGGCCGCCTGCTCAACAGCGGCCGCTGTCGGTTTGGGGCAACATTTGTTGTTGGGCATTGTGCCCAGTCTTTCCGTGCCAATTCCGGGCGTCCAAACCAGAGGGCCGGCCGCAAGGCCGCGAGCTGCTGCGTGTCGAGGTCGCGTGCGCGCCCAGCGAGAGCGGCGACGCCGCCAGCGTGGCGCCGGGCCGCTACCTGCGCGCCCAGCACGTGGGCGCCTCCGACGCGCACTTCAGCTGGTACACTCAGGCCGTTGGCGTGGTTGGAGGGCGGCCTGCGGGCGCGATCTTTCGCCTCTGCGGGTGCGCGCAGCAAGAGTGTTCTGCGGGCTGCCCGTTCGGCGCGAGCAGCGTGGAGCACCTCGACGTCTGGCACTTGGTGGACGAGCGTGACCGCGAGGAGGTGCAGGCTGGACTCCACCTCGCGCCAGCGCCGAGCGGCGGGCTACGCGTAGCCCCCAGCATCGGCTGCCCCACGCCTGGTAGCAGCGCTGCTGGCTCGGGCGACGATTCCAGCCGCCGGGGGCAAATCCCGCCGCCGCCACTCCCGCCGCCGGCGCGGCAGCTCCCGCTTCCGGAGCCGGCGCCACCCGTGGAGGACCTCGATGCCGACGAGGAGGAGCCCTCGGCGAAGCGCCCCCGCGTTGCGGGCCCAGGCCCTGGCCAGAGCGCGGCAGCGGTCCAGGAACCCCTCGACGACGAGGTGGCCGACCTTGAGTGGCCCCTCGAGGACCCGGCGCTGGACGGGCGGCTCGCCCAGCTGGGGCAGCGGCTGCGGGGCGGTGGAGCTGGAGGAGGCAGCCGCGCAGCAGCCAAGAACGCCCCGGGCCCTGGTGCCGCGCGGGCGCTGGCGCTGCGCGCGCGGGGTCGCGTCGCGGCCGGGGGCGCTGCGCGGCCCGCCTTTGTTGCTGGCAGCCGCGAGCGTTTGGCGGGGATGCTGGCGGCTGCTCTGCTTGGCGGCGAGGATGGCGGCGAGCTCGACGAGGACGGCTCGAGTGCGCTGGGTGGAGACGTGCGCAGGGGGGGACATCGAGCGCGACCTGTCACAGGAGATCGCGAAGCAGCGTTCCGGGTGCTGCTGGAGAGCGGGCTGGCTCGCATTCGAGGCCAGTTCGCCCGGCAGCTGGCCGACGCGGGGCCTCGGACCCGCCTGGGCCGCGTGTGCTCCAGTACCTCAACGCGTGTTCTTCGTGGCCCATCCTGCCCGGGGGCTCGAGGTGGACGAGGTGTGCGCGCTGAGGGCGCTGGGCGAGGCCATGGGCGGGCTGCTCAAGGGCCAGGTCGTCGAGGTCTGCGACGTGCTCATGCAGGAGTTCAAGGCCAGGACGATGGCGCTGCGGGGTGGCCACTGGCGCGGCGCGCGGTGGCTCACCCCGGTCCCCAACGAGAGCTTTCCCGCGGGGGCGTCGCGGGGCGTGGAGGCGGCCGCCGAGCGCGCGGGGGCCCGCGAGATGAAGCTCGCCGAGCTGCAGCGCCGCCAGTCCGATAAGCGAGGGCTGGGCCTGATGTTTGGCCTGGGGCCCTCTCCAGTTCCCGGGGGGGGCGGCTCCCGCGGGCCAAGGTGTCGTGGAAGCGAGGCCCCAGACTCCGACAGCGACGCCCGTGGCGGGGTCGCCGGCTGCCCTCTCGGCAGGGCGGGCGCCGGCCCCCGACGGCCGGGCGGCGGCGGACAGGCGGCCCGGCTCTCGGTGCTCGGCCCCCAGGTCGCCAAGCATCGCTGGAGCAACCGCAGCCCTTTCCACCCCGTCCTTCGTCTGGAGGAGCGGCCAGCTCTCATGGGTGCAGGCGCGTCGGGGGCAGCGGCGGGCGATCTCGGCCGGGGGCCATCATGGGGGGGGGGGGCGAAGAACGCTCACCCTCAGCGCCGAGACGAGAGCCGGCGCGAATGGGAGGCTCGATTGGGGTTCGCGAAGATGGCCAAGCTGGGCCGCGGACGCGGGGCCGCAGGGGGCCGCGGGCGCGGAGCTGCAGCGGGCCGCGGGCGCAGCGCATGGCTGGCCAAGGGGGCCAGGGCCCCCTGGGCCCCTGCGGGGAGCAGCTGAGCCTCGACGGAGGCAGTCTGGTGGAGGAGGCTGGCTCGGTTTTCTGTGCTGCGTGAGCTCGGGTGTTCGCCGTCGTTGAGGAGGGGGGTGCCGATTTGTCCGTGGGCCCGCCGAACGCCGCGAGCCTCTGGAGGTGTCCGCTGCAGCAGAGGTTGCTGCTGGCGTGGGGCGTGGGAAGCGCGCCGCTGCTGGCGGGGCAGCGTAGGCGGGGGTCGGCAGCCTCGAGGGGCGGCGCGTTGGCCGGGGGTGGGTAGGGGAGCAGCTCGGTGAGCACCCTGAGACCCCCCCCAGGCAGGCGCAGCCACGCGACCGCTCCATGGAGGAGAACGAAGCGGACAGCCAGGAGCAGGCGTCGGAGGCTGGCGCGCGCGAGCAGGAGCGCCACCTGCGAGGGCCCGCGCGCAGCCAGCGCAGGCGGAAGACGCTGGCTAGTGCGGGCAGTCGCGGCACCCGGGCTCGATGCCAGCAGGTCGCGGCCCTCTGCGACGCGGCGCGTGGGGTCCCGGGAGACGTCGCGAGGTTTATCAGAAGCGCCCCGCCAGTGCAGCGAGTGCGCCTCGAGAGGAAGCGCGAGGTGTTGACGCTGCCCGTTCCCGACGCTCCCGCTTTCTTGTCGCGCCGTGCTGAGTGGCTGAGCCAGGGCGCCGTCCGGGACCCTGGGCTGGGCGACGCCGTTCGCCGAGGGGTGGGCGGTGCTGCTTGTCGTGCGCGCGCTGAACTACCAGTATGCTGGACACGCCGGGGGCAGGCCAGTCCCCTCAGGGCCGTTGACGGCCGCTCAGGCCAGCTCCATGGTTCATGACCGTCATCAGGGAGGCTGCCAAGTACTTCGTCGGGGGCCTCCCAGGAGCTCGAGGTCCCAGACAGGGTCGAAGTGGTCGCCGCGCGTGGCGTTACTTTCGGTCGGGAGGAGGTGCCGCGCGCCCTGCGGCTCACTCTCGGCGGCGTGCTACCAGGGCTGCCCCCGCAGGGGGTCGCTGCCTCTGCGCGGGCGCTGGACATCGCGGACGACCGCGTCGCGGACTGGCTGGCTGACCCCACCTTGGCGCTGCCGCCCAAGGCCGAGTGGCCTGAGGAGGTCCCGCGAGCGGCGATCCAGGCGAGCTCGAAACCTGAGTGGCACTGCGTGTGCGCCAAGCTTGTGGAGTTGGGTTTGGCCGTGCCCATCGCCGACGACAGGGAGGTCTTGGCGGGGGCGCTCGGTGTCGCCAAGGGCGGCGCCCCTTCGCCCAGGCGCGACGCGGCCCAGCGGCCCATCATCAACGCGGTGCCTGCGAGCAGCCACCAGCGCACACTGAGGGGCGACATCGGGGAGCTCAGTGCTTCACCCTCGTGGGCTCGTGGGTGGGGGTCCCGCTGCCTGAGGGCCATGTGCTGCTGTGGTCGTCCGACGACGAGGCGTCGGCTTCTTATTGCTACGAGTTGCCCGCAGCCTGGCAGCCGTGCGTGACTCTGGCCGAGAAGATCCCCAATGAGCTCAGTGGTGTCAGCGGGCTGGGGAAGACGCACATCGCGCTGCGCGTCATCCCGATGGGCTGGATCAGCGCGGTCTCAGTGTTCCAGCGCTGTCACAGGCGGCTGGGGTTTTGCCTGAAGCCGCTCGGTGCGGGGCTCCCTCTAGAGGCCGAGTGGCGGAAGGGCCGGCCGCTGCCGTTGAAGTCGAGGCAGCTTGAGCAAGCGTGGGGTGCAGTGCTACATCGGCGACTGGGGCCACGGCGAGATCGCCCCTGCGAGCCATCTCGGCGACCTGGCATGGACGATGAGCGCTGTGCAGGCCGAGCAGCGTGAGGCCTGCGCGAGGAGCGGAATCCAGGTGGCTGGTGGCAAGGCCAAGCACCGCGAGCTCGTCCTCGAGAGGATGGGGGCAGGTCTGGATGACAGCACCGGCCGCGTGGGAGTTACGACGGAGAAGCCTCATCTGTTCCTCGCGCTCATCACGTGGGCCATAGGCCAGACCGAGGTCACGGTCAAGGCGATGCTCGTGGTCCTCGGGCTGCGTGTGCGTGCTGCTGGGTTCCGGCGACTCTTCATGGGCTTCCTGAATGAGTGCTGGGCTGCTGGGCAGTGGAACTACCCTCATTCGATGCCGTCCCTCATGTGTGGGGAACTTCTGCTGTTCTGCATGGCCCTCCCGCTCGCTTTCACCGACCTGCGGGCCCAGATCGACGCGGGCGTGATCGCCGCTGACGCTAGTGAGCAGGCAGGTTGCATCTACTATCCCGCGGGGCTCACGCCGCGCGGCATGCAGGCCGCCACCAACGAGGGTGGCCTGTGCGAGGAGGCCGAGCGGACCCCCCTTCGAAGCGCCCCATCTGGTCCAGTGGCAGCCGCGCATCGTGCTCGTCGAGCTGTTCGCGGGTGCCGCGGCCTCTGCAGTGGCCGCCCACCTAAGCTCGGAGATAGACCCTGCTGGTCGCCGGCTGGTGCGGCGCCGCTGGCCAGGCGTCGTGGGGCTGGGCAACGTGGCGCTGCTGGACGTCGCGCGCTTCTCCAGGGTCCTCGATGATTTCAGGCGCGACGCCGACTGGGTCTTCATCGCGGCGGGCAGCCCCTGCCAGGACATCTTGGCGCTCAACGTGGTCGGCCAGGGCCTGGAGGGTGAGAGACCGCCAAACGCGCGTTCGGCGAGCGCGTGGACTGGTTCCTCGAGAACGCGTTCAGCATGGGGAGCGAGTCGAGGGGCCAGTTCACGGAGGCGCTGAAGGTTACGCCACTGCTGCCCGACGCGGAGGACTTCACCCGAGTGAGGCGGCCGCGTCTCTTTGGTGCTCCTGGCCAGCAGCTGAGCACTTCCCCGCTGGCACGTGCGTTGAGGTCAAGGGCGAAGGATGCAGCCAGTGCCTGAAGGTAGTGGTCAGCGTCCAGCGAGCAGCTGCGGAGTCGTGGCCGATGCCAGGCTGGCGGCTGGATGATCCTGACGCGGACCTGCCCTGCTTCGCGCGACAGATCCTGCGAGGGCACCCGCCGCTTAGGCCAGTCGGCCTGGAGCGGGCGAGCGCTGCTGCCCAGGCACGTTGGGTCGAGGACCAGTGCCGCTACCAGGTGTGCAACGACGAGGACAATGTCCCTCTGTGGAGACCAGGCCGTTCGCAGGGCAGGCCCCCTGATGCGAATGAACAGGGTGTGCTCATGGGGTTTGATCGGTGCTATTTTGAGGCTGCAGTCAAGGACGGTGTTGCGCCTGCTGAGAGAGACATCATCATTGCAAGTCTCATCGGCAGTACTTTCTGTGTCCAGTGCGTCGCGCTCCTTCTTGGCAGCTGGCTGGCTCAAGTGGGTGCGCTGCCCGCGCCGGTCCTGGCAGAGCTATGTCTGCAGGTCGGTGAGTGGGAAGCCAACTGGAATGTCGACGCGGATTTCAGGTGCCAGGGTTTCTGTCGCGCTACTGCAGAGCGGGCCCTCATCGTGGAGTTCCCGCGCATCGCCGATCGGGGGGACTGGCGTCCGACTCGACTGCAACGCACCCTGCCGCGCTCGAGCGTGGCCGCGGTCAGCGTTGCGCACGTCGCTGTGGGCTTGGCGCATCGCCGAGAGTTTCCAGTGGCAGAGGCCGGCGCGCATCTCGGAGCTGGAGCTGGGGGCCGCAGTGGCTGGGGCGAGGTGACGGTGCCGCGACGTCGCGAAGCACCGCGGCTGCTGCCTGCACATCCTCGACGCCCAAGCGGTCGCGGCAGTCTGCACCAAGTGCAAGACCAGCGCGTGGCGCCTCCAGCCAGGCATCAGGCGCCTCAGTGCGTCGGCGCTCGCGACCTGCTGCTGCCCGCTGTGCGGCTACTGCGACACCGACAACATGCCCGCCGACGTCCCTTCGCGCTGGGCAGGCGCGCGCAGCAGCCATTGCGAAGAGAGTGGCAGCCAAGGCGCAGGCGCGGAGGGCGGCAGCTCGTAGCAGGCCCCTGCGGGAGGCGATCGCCACGCTGCTCACACTGTAGCGCTACCAGCAGGCCGTCAATGGCGTGTTCGACTGGTGGCTGGAGCAGGGCCGCGTTGTCCAGTCCGCGGTGCAGGCGGACGTGGGCCTAGAGGACTGCATTGAGGGGCGCTGGGCTGCGGGCGGATCGCTGTTCGACGTCGACTGCGCGATCGCTGGCATTTGTCACCGCTGCCCGCCCCCGCGTGGCCACCTACCTGAGAGCTGGAGGCTGGCTCGCACATGGCAGCGTGCCGAGCCGGCAGGGCGAGCGTTGCCAATTGACCGGCTCATCGTCTTGGCCTTCTCAGGCGGCTTCCTGGCAGGCGGCTTCCCTGCAGCCGCTGCTGTCTTGCTCGCAGCCTACGACATCTACCTGCGGACAGGTGCGATTTTCGCGCTGCGGTGGTCCGATATCATGATCTACGAGGCCTCCTGCGCCGCCATGGTCAGGGTGCGAGACGCCAGGGGCCGGCGCCAGACAGGCGCTGGCTGATTCGTGATGGTGAGCTCTAAGCGGGCAGCGCTGGAGGCGCGCAGGCTTCGTCTTCGGGCTCCAGTCTCCCGCGGGCAGCAGGAGCAGCCCGCCATCGCCATGTCGCCGGCCGCATTCCACCGCGTGCTCGGGGAGATCCGAAGCTTGCTCCAGCTGGGGAAGAGTTGGTGCGAACGCGGACTTTCGCAGCCGTGGCTCCATGGAGACAGCGCTGCTCGGAGGCAGATGGGCTAGTGCCCGCGCTGCGCGTCTCTATGTGCAGGATGCGGTCGCGGGGGCGACGGCGCTGGCCCTCTTGCATGGACAGCGTGCAGCCTGCCTCCAGCTTGCAAGCCGAGTCTCATAAACCGCTCGTCGTCTCCCACCCTTGATCTCTCCCTCCTTCCCCTTTCAATGAGGTCAGTCAAGGGTCTTGGAGTGTGATCTGGAGTGCCCCCCAGATGTGGGGGGGGGGTCGTGGTAGGAGGCGACCAAGGCCAGTTTCGGGTCGGTGGGGAGGTTTTCCAGACCCTCGTCCCCGGCAGACCTTCCCAGGGGCGAAGTGTCGGCCTTTTAGCGCGCGGCCTCCGGAGCTGCCCGCGCATGCTTGTGCTGGGCCGGTGCTCGCCGTGCCTTAGAGGAGGAGCACGTCTGGCCCTCCTCCTGTGGGTGGTCTGTCGGGGGTGGGCGCGGCCCTGTGCAAAGCGATTCCTGGCGGAGCGCTTAAAACAAGGGGGCTTAATATATATATATATATATATGTATATATATATATACATATATATACACACATACATATAAGTGTATACATATACATACATACATACATACATACATACATACATACATACATACATACATACATACATACACACACATACATGCATGCATGCATGCATGCATGCATGCATACATACATACATACATACACACACAGTATAACCACGCGCGCATTTCGCGGGCGCTTACGTTCTAGCACGCCGCCCAAACTCTTGACAAGCTGACGCGCAAAGTTCTTGGGGTGCTTGTGGGGCTTCATGGGAGTTTTCCGGGCTTCTTGGGAGCTCTTGGGATCTTCTTGGGGGCCTTTTTGGCTGTTTTAGAGCGTTCCTGGCCCGTCGGGCGCTGCTGGAAGTCGTCTTTGAGGCCTGTCTTCGCCGTTTTCGAGCCCGCTGGACTCCTGGCCCGTCTGACGCCGTCGGAAGCCGTCTTGGAGGCCTCGATGGGCCGACTTGGTGCCCTCTTGCGGTGCTCCAGGGCCGTCTTGGAGGCCATCCGGGGTGTCTTGGAGGCCTCTGAGGCCGTCTTGAGGCCCTCTTGGGGTGCCCCAGGGCCGTCTTGGAGGTCTCCTGGGGCGTCTTCTAGGCCCTATTGGGCCGTTTAGTGGGTAGCCGCCGCAAACCCAAATTAGACCTCGCCATCCCCGGGGGGCTGCGATTTGCGAAACTGTCGCCACTTTCGAGGGCTGTGGGGGCCAGCATAGTGGGTAGCCGCCGCAGATCCAAAGTAGACCTCGCCATCCCCGGGGGGCTGCGATTTGCGAAACTGTCGCCACTTTCGAGGGCTGCTTTGGGGGGCCAGCATAGTTGGTAGCCACCGCAGATCCAAAGGAGACCTCGCCATCCCTGGGGGGCTGCGATTTGCGAAACTGTCGCCACTTTCGAGGGGTTGCTTGGGGGGCCAACGCAGTGGGTAGCCGCCGCAGATCCAAATTCTAGACGCTTCGCGTATCCCCACCAGTGTATGGGTGGCGCTGAGACACTTTGGATGTGCACCTTCGGCCCGCGTTCCTACCGTGTGGCTTCGTGCACACTGCTGCGCCCTTATCTGTCGCTGGATCAAGGGCCTGACGCATCTCAGTTGTGGAAGGTTCTTTCTGGCTACTCTGATTCCACACTTTGGATGCGTGTACTGACGTCGCGATGCTCTGATCCGTCGTCAGGTCTCCCCGCTGGACTTTGTCGCCAGACAGTCTGTGCTACCCGTCAGACTCCCTGGATAGACGTCTTCGGTACCGTTCCTACTTGTTCGTCATGAACTGTTGGGAACGTTTACGCGCCATTTTGGCTGCGCTCGGCTTCCTCGGTGCCTGTGTTCAGACTCCCTGGATGCGCCGTTGCATGACTCGTCCTGGGACTGCCCTGCAGACTCCCTGGATTGCACGCCTTGGCTCCGACGCCCTGGGTCGCTGCTGCTTGCCGCCTGACCGCGGCTTCGCGCGCGCCCGCCGCTAGTCGCGGCCACAGCCCGACCGCGACCGCCCGCCGCCGGCGCTTCCGCCTGCGGCTGTAATAAAAAAAAGTATCCCCACCAGCGGCCGCGCTTAGTTGTCGCCTCGCCCGTCGCTCTGTTGGTTTTCCCGCGTTTCTCTTGCCTTTTCCGCCTCGGCCTCTTGCATGCGCACTTTGGCAGTACTGTGCCCCAGTTTTCTGCTGTTAATTAGTCAGTGGCGCGTACCCGCTTCGACTTGACACGCCGCCGGCGCTTCCGCCCGCGGCCGTTGACTAAAAGATATCCCCACCAGCCCATCCAGAAGTGACGCCCAGGCGAGTAGAGGGCTGTCCTGAGGGGCTTTTCGGCGTCTCGGGTGCCTCGGGGGGCCTCTTTGGGCCGCTTGGGATCCTCTTGGGGGCCTCCTGGGGGCCTCTTGGGGGCCTCTTGGGGCCATCTTGGGGCCTTTTGGGGCCTCCTGGGCGCTTCTCGGGGCCATCTTGGAGGACATCGATCAAAGAAGAGGGAAGCTTCAATTTGGGTTGCCCCCCCCCCCAGAGGCCAAAAAGGAGCCAAAACCTTCGTACAATCAATGATTTTGGCTTCCTCGCCGAGGCCATCTTGGACGCTCTGACCGCTCGCGGCCCCCCCCGTCCAGGTCCACGGGGAGGGGTAGGGGGAGGGGCAAACCCCTCCCCGAAGGGGAAGAGGGAGGGGTGGAAGAGGAAACGCCCTAAACCACTGACGCCCAGAGGGCTGGTGGGATTAGACCTCGCCGTCCCTGGGGGGCTGCGATTTACGAAATTGCACTCACTTTTGAAGGCTGCTTGGGGGGCCAGCAAAGCGGGTAGCCGCCGCAAATCCAAATTCGACCTCGCCATCACTGGGGGGGGGCGCGCGATTTGCGAAACTGTCGCCACTTTCGATGGCTGTTTGGGGGGCCATCACAGCGGGTAGCCGCCGCAGATCCAACATAGACCTCGCCATCCCTGGGGGGGGGGGGCTGCGATTTGCGAAACTGTCGCCTCTTTCGAGGGCTGCTTGGGGGGCCAGCTATAGTGGGTAGCCGCCGCAGATCCAAGTTGGACCTCGTCATCCCTGGGGGGCTGCGATTTGCGAAACTGTCGCCACTTTCGAGGGCTGCTTGGGGGGCCATCACAGCGGGTAGCCGCCGCAGATCCAACATAGACCTCGCCATCCCTGGGGGGGGGGCTGCGATTTGCGAAACTGTCGCCACTTTCGAGGGCTGCTTGGGGGGCCAGCTATAGTGGGTAGCCGCCGCAGATCCAAGTTGGACCTCGTCATCCCTGGGGGGCTGCGATTTGCGAAACTGTCGCCACTTTCGAGGGCTGCTTGGGGGGCCAGCATAGCGATCAGCGAAACTGTCACCACTTTCGAGGGCTGCTGGTGGGTCCAGCGGAGTGAGGCACCGCGCGGATCTGAGCGAGACCTCGCCGTCCCTGGGGGGCTGCGATCTGCGAAACCGTCGCCTTCTTCAAGGGCTGCTGGCGGGTCCAGTGGAATGAGGCACCGCGCAGATCTGAGCGAGATCTCGCCCGCCGTCCTTGAGGGGCTGCGATCTGCGAAACCGTCGCTACTTTCGCAGGCTGGTGGCGGGTCCAGTGGAGTGAGGCGTCCGCAGATCTCAGCGGGACCTCGCAATCCCTGGGGGGCTGCGAGCCTCACGAATGCCGCTCGCAGAGGTGTTTGCGCCCATGTCACGTCATCACCTCCGTATAACGTCTCCCAAGCTACTCATGCCCCGCATTGCGCAGGGGTTGGGTACGTCGCCAGGGTGATTTTGCGCCAGAGTCCCGATGTGGAACCGCCACGAAAATCATGACTGAGGACAGCGCGGCCCGCTCCCACTCGCAGCCAGGACAACCACATCCTGCCTTGGTGATCCAGTGGGTTCTCGTGGTTTTTTGGGGATCGCGGGGGTCAGGAAGCTACCCTCACCCCCCGCCCTGGTCACCTTGGGAGTGGGGGTCCTGGCTGCGGCTGGGGGCGGGCTGTGCTGTCCTCAGCGAGGGACCGTCTCTCTTCGGCCAGGGGGCCTCTGTAGGCCCGCCCTGGGCTTGGGTCAACGAAGGCCCGTCCCAGGTGACGAAGGAGGGCTCCGGAAGTGCACGTTGTAAAAAGTTCACGACGCGCGAGATCTTCAGGGGCAGCGATAAGGGGGGGACTCACCGACCCCCCAATCGCCCATTGATCACCGGTAAGGGGCCCGAGAGCCCATCCCGCCCAGGAACTTGCGGTCTCTCTAACGGGGGCCTACCGCCGATCTGTCGGCGATGTATGGCCGATTCCAGGTCGATGTTCCCCCGCCCTGCGCCAGTCCCTCCCATCGCTGACCCTCAGATCTTGGGCTTTTGGGTGCAGTCACGACGGGCCGTTGAGTGCCTCCACATGCCCAAGCCCAAAGCATGCCCACAATTTTCAGACACAATCATATCCTTTGCGTTTCGAATTTTAGGACTCCCTCCCCTGCAAGCCCAGGACGCCGCGGACATGGATTTGAATCGGGCTTTTTGCGTGGCCATCTGTTTATCCATCTGCACTGCGTCTCGGGTTTTTGGCATCCCCTCCCTAATGATCCAATGCGCCCATGCCACCAGTGTAGCCTGGCCTGCTGCCGGGAGGTGGTGTTGCCAGAGTTCCTGGCCAGTTCCGAGCAGAGCTTGTCACGCACGCCACTGCTCCGATTCCGTCACACTTTGATCGGCCCAGAAGCTGGCTCAACTTCGCATTGACGGCTTTGTGTCCGCCCGAAGGGCCTCCTACGAGCGTGGCCGAATATCCTGACTGAGAAGGCGGCCGAAAGACGAGACGCGCAGACAAGACACAATGATTCCGACAAGCTGGTGGCTGCTCTCCCTCTCCAGCCTGCCGCCGGAGCGGGGGAATGCCGGTCTCTTTTGTGTTTGAACGTGCTTGCTGTTCTTGCCTTTGGCTCCTCAGGAGGGGGGGAACCAAACGCTGCAGCCAGGCGGCCCTCTGTCGGGCCGGACGAGAGGGGGGGATAGGGAACGGGGGGGTTACGA